AGGGTGACAATCAGACTAATAAGGAGCAGCTGGGCAGAGACACACTGGGGAACACAGAAACACAAGGAAAACCAAAGTGAAAAACTGACAAACCATGACAGTACCCCCGCCCCCCTTAACAATCGTCTCCTGACGATCAACAAGGAGAGGCACGGAACAAGGGAAGACAAGACAAAACAAACTCGAAGACAAAACACGGAGGTCCATGGGAAACAACATTCGTCCCACACAGGGCAAGAGTCCAGGGGGACGACCAGGAAACCACACACGGCGAGACCTCTCAGGAGCAGATGCAGAGCTGCAGGATGAGGCAGAAGCAGATGCAGAGGCCCAGGAGGAGGAGGAGGCAGACGCAGCGCCACAGGAGGAGGCTGGAGCAGATGTGGAGCCAATGGAAGAGGCGGGAGCAGAAGTGGAGCCAAGGGAGGAGGCGGGAGCAGATGTGGAGCAAAGGGAGGAGGCGGGAGCAGACGTGGAGCCAAGGGAGGAGGCGGGAGCAGACATGGAGCCAAGGGAGGAGGCGGGAGCAGACGTGGAGCCAAGGGAGGAGGCGGGAGCAGATGAGGAGCCGTCGGAGATTGATGGAGCCGGAGCCTCGGTGACGGCAAACACAGGTGACAAAGGGGACGAAGAGGCGAAGGCAGCCGACCCAGGCGACATGGAGGTGACGTCAGCCGACCCACGCGACATGGAGGCGACGGCAGCCGACTCAGGCGACATGGAGGCGATGGCAGCCGACCCAGGTGACATAGAGGCAATGGCAGTCGACCCAGGCGACATGGAGGAGACGGCAGTCGACCCAGGCGACATGGAGGAGACGGCTGCCGACCCAGGCGACATGGAGGCAATGGCAGCTGACCCAGGCAACATGGAAGTGACGGAAGATGACCCAGGTGATAAGGCGATGTGCGACGTGGAGGCAACAGCAACCAACCCAGATGACTTGGAGGGGCTGGCAGCCAACCCACGAGCCTCGAGGATCGCAGACTCAGGAGCCACCATCGGAACTGCAGACACCAGGACCACCGACCGTGGAACCGCCATTGGAACCACCGACTCCAGGACCACCGATTGTGGAGCCACCGAGACCACCGGCTGTAGATCCACCACAGGAACCACCGACTCCAGGACCACCGATTGTGGAGCCACCGAGACCACCAACTCGGGAACTGGGACCACCACCGGAACTACAGACTGTGGAACCACCACCTCTGAGACCACCACCGGAACCACCACCTCTGGAACCACCGACTGTGGAACTGGAACCACCAACCCAGGAACATATTCAGAAGGCCCAGCAGACTCAGAAGGCCCAGCAGATTCACAAGGCCCAGCAGACTCAGAAGGATCGGTAGCCCAAACAGCCGGGTCGGGCAGCAAAGTCCCAGATAGCGCAGCAGCCATCCCATGAAACACAGAAGGGGTGGGAGGGTGGGCATTCAAATGCTCGGCCAGAAGATGCCGAGCGTACTCACTGACCCTCCGGTGGCCAGGCAGGAGCAGCAGATCAGGACGCCTCACCAAGACATCCTCAATCTGCTGGCAGAGGAGTTGTTTCACCGCATAGGTGGAGGACCACCGGAGGATCATGAGTGATCCAGCGATCTGAGGGCTTGTTACCTCGTCCTCCCACGGCGGCAGAGACGGGACCTGTTCTTCACAGGCAGGTGAGGTCAAACCGGTCGTGTGGAGTTGAGGCGGTGGAGGAAAAAAATTATCTGCCTTGTGGAAGGGCAGACCAGAAAAACGTATGCCTGCAGTCTGGGTGTTTGGTTGGTTCATTTTGACAGGGTTTGGCAGGAAAAAACCCAGGGTGCAGGCAGCCTCCATGAATATAACAAAAAGATTTATTAAATAACAAAATTGCTCTAAAGGCAGCTCAAAAACTTACAGGTAAACGATGATCACAAGCAGGGGGAACAGAACACAGTGAACCAACCTCAGACTGAGACAAGACAGGACTTAAATACACTGACAACTAATTGATGAACTGAAAACACCTGGTGAGAAACACGAGGGTGACAATCAGACTTATAAGGAGCAGCTGCCCAGCGGGCTGAAGGTTTGGTGTCCAGGTCTGGGTGTGGCTGCTGTGGGCATGGTGGGAGGGCTGGACGCCTTCTTGCACAGCGGCTGCGGCGGCGCTCAGCTAAACGGGATGTCTCTGCAATGGATGGTGAGCATGGTGTGGAGTGTTGTGAGAGTGCAGGAATTGATCTGTGTTTCAGCGGATTTTGCCAGTCTCTGTGTGCCTCCGAAGCCTCGCCTAGCTTTATTGAATTGGATGATTTTTTAGGGATATTGGAATCCCTTCACTGGGTTCTGACCTATCTGGCGGGTTGGAGGGAGATTTCTCTTTAGCTGAGATGAACTCTGCAGTTGAGGACATGCGGGGTGGAGGATCTCCAGGACCGGATGGTTTCCTGGCAGAATTCTTTGGGAAGTTTTCAGATCTGCTTTCTCCCCTGTTATTGTCAGTTTTTGAGGAGTTCTTAGCTGCACAATTGTTGCCATTGTCTATGCGTCGGGCGGTGGTTTTCTTGCTTTTGAAGAGGGATGGAGACCCCTTGAGCTGCAGGTCATGTCGCCCAATGTCGCTTTTAGGTACTGATGTGAGAGTTCTTGCAGGGATGTTAGCGGGGCGGGTCGAGCGGATTGTCCCCAGGTTGTTGCACCTGACCAGACTGGTTTTATTAAGGGTCATCAATCCTTTTTTGGTGTCGGGTGGTTGTTTGGTGTGCTGTGTGCTTCTGCTCCGCCCAGTCACAACCGCAATGAAAACTTTAATCTCGCTGGATGCCGAGAGAGAGTTTGACCGGGTGGAGTGGAACTGTCTTTTTGGGACCTTGGAGATGTTTGACTTCGGCCCTGGATTTGTTTCATGGGTGAAGCTGATGTGTACCTTGCCAATGGCAGCGGTGTGCACTGGCGGTGGTTTATCCAGCTATTTTGAGTTGGGGCGTGGTGCGAGGCGGGGGTGCCCACTCTCGCCACTCTTGTTCGCAGTCGCGATTGAACCACTCGCAGTGGCTTTATAGAACAGCCCTAGGATTGGAGGTGTTGGTCGGTTTGGCACTGAACATGGGGTTTCCTTATGTGCAGATGATGCCCTTCTTTTTATCTCGGATCCCTTGTCTAGTGTTCCTGAGGTGCTTCTTTTGCTTGAAGGGTTTGGAGATATATCTGGTTATGGGGTTGGCCTTCAAAGGTGTGAATTGATGCCGGTGGCCCCGGTGGAGGAGCGGCATGTGGGTCCAGTTCCTTTCGGGATTGGCTCTGCCAGGTTTGAATACCTTGGTGTTTGGATTGCTCACAGTCACAAAGATCTTAGTGCAGCGGGCTTTCTGCCTCTCCTGGTGGGCCTTGGGAGGGACATTGCTGCATGGGCTTCCCTGCCTCTGTCCCTGGGGGGTAGAGTCAACGTGATCAAGGTGACGGTGTTGCCCAGGTTACTTTGTCTATTTCAGAGCGTGCCGGTGTTCCTCACCAGGACTTTCTTTACAAGTTTGGATGGTGAGTTGTCATCCTTTATTTGGAGTGGGAAGCATCCACGGATGGGCAGTGGGATGCTGCAGTTGCCCCATGG